TGTGTGTGTGTGTGTGTTGTAAACTGTCAGCACAACAAACCCTTTTCCGCCCAGATGAGCAGATGCGAGAGAGACCGTGGGGTACATGTGTGTGGGTATCAGCCGTCAAATCAGCTAGCCTCTGAAAACACATACCCAGTATGGACATCAATCCATCCAGTCGCAAAAAAACTGTGTGTGCACATGTTGGGCAGGGGAGGGTTGAGAGACTGTGCAGGCATGTGTTTGTGCGAAGGGGAGGGGAGAGGGGGACTCGGGGAAAGGGGTGAAGGAAGAAGAAGAGGGGTGGGGGGAAAGAGAGAAGAGAGTTGGATTATCACTGCGATCGACGAACTACTACAACAAGTACTTTGGGATAAAAGACTATTAAAAGTTTCATAAAACTACGCAATCATTTGGTAATGAACGGTGTAGAAGCTCATTGCAGTAAACTGGGAAACGATAACACAGGTACTAGTCGTACGACTGGAAAGGTGATCAGTCATTGGCTATGAAAAGGTGGCCACAAACTGTGCATTACTGCAAGCACTATCATCAGCTCAGAAACGTTTTTGTTGCTTGATGGTGACTCGGCAAGAAAGGCGGTGGCGAAGGTGATGGCGACTCTACAAGCAACAGCAGCTTGATGTTGACTCTAGCCGGTGCGTGGGTGGGCACGTCGGTGTGTGTGTACAATTCTCAATGAGACTCTAACATGTTATGCATTAGCATGTTTCTCCCATCGTTACGAAATGACACAGTATGTTAGTTAGGCTTCAGCTCCCGACCCAAACACATTACACCGGCAATTCGGAAATGAGTGAAGTCGGATGGGGACGCACCAAATGTCATTAATTCTTCTGTTGCAGACTGTCGGTGGTTTCCCAAGCTGTTTAAACTCAGATATGTCATTCGAATACATGGCCTTGACGTTCCGCCACTTCAAGCACCTGGTACGTATGCTGATGCCCTCTCGTTCAATCCAAGTCTCCATCATTCATGAGTTCTTGTGTCGGTGGTTTTCTCATGCTGTTCAAACTCAGCATGTCTTGTTCAAATGCATGCCCTTGATGTTCTGCCACTTCAAGCGCCTAGCATGTAGTGTGCTAATGCCCTCTCGCTCAATCCAAGTCCGTGGGCGCGCCCAAGTAGATGTGGTGTGGACTCGAGTCCTGACCGGAGTACTCGTCCGTGTCCTGAGTTGCTAATGACAGGCTGTCTGTCGCTGGGTATACATGCGGCTACCATCTTCACCCGAATAGAACGCCCGGTCATTTTAGCTGTGTTTGATGCAACTGTAAACGGATGCGGCAATAATTACCAGGCGTTCTATTCGGGGAAAGACGGTAGGGAAAATGCTGCCGCTGTTGCATGCGGCAGCAGGAACAGCTCAATGAGCAGCCATTACAGCCTGCTGCCGCCATTACAGTCTGCTACTGCTGTCGCACGCTGTAGCAGCTTGCTCGGAAGCTGTTATGGCCTGCTACTGATGTTGCAGCCTGTAGCAGATCGGAGAGCTGTCACAGCTCACTGAGCTGTTGCAGGGCTGTAGCACGTCAGAGAACAAGGTAGATACGTCAGAAACTTGAGATAAGGAGTGGACACTAAGTCAAGATGATGCGACAGAGAAGAAAACAAGCACGCTGTGTCCTCTAAGCACTTCTGAGAAAGCAGGTGTTCTACATTAACCGGCCAACCAATTACTTCATCCGCTTCAGCTGGTTCATGGTTTGCACAAGCTGGTCTCTCTCAGTAGTCACTTCGGCCAACTGTAGCTTCAAGACGATGTGCTCCTGACGGAGCTCCTCTGTCTCTGCAGCCGATTGCTTCCAACTCTGCATTATCATGCAATCAACAAGAAACATGTGAACAATGAAAATGTCAAGGAGTTTACCTATCAACAGAGTGTTTCCCGTCATAAACTAGAGTCTCGTTTTTGCATTGATGCCGGGTGAGCATGTCAATCGGGACATTCGTTAGAACTGGAATGATACAGAGGAGAAGATTAGCATGGTCCCTGCGCAAGGATGACAAGCATAAACCGAGAAATGGTCTAAATTAGTAAATTTTGGTGCAAAAAAAAAACCATCAGCAATAGGTTTCAGTCCTAATCTTGTGGAATGTAGAAAGTCTCTGTCTCTCTCCGTCCGTCCGTCCATCGGTCGGTCAGTCGAGGTCTGTCTGTCTGTCCGTCTGCCCCTCTGTCCCTCTGTGCGTCTGTGCATCCGTCTGTCTGTCCATCTGTCCATCCGTCGGGCTGTCAGAGAGTCCATCTGTCCATCGGTTGCGCCGTTGGTCGGTCCATCGATTGGCCCGTCGGTTGCGCCGTTGGTCGGTCCATCGATTGGCCCATCGGTCGGTCGGTTGGTCGGTTGGTTGGTCGGTCGGTCGGTCAGTCAGTCGGTCGGTCGCTCGGTCTGTCTGTCTGTGACTACCAGCAAGTCTGTAAGTCTCTCTCTCTCTCTCTCTCTCTCTCTCTCTCTCTCTCTCTCTCTCTCTCTCTCTCTCTCTCTCTTTCTCTTTCTCTCTCTCTCACACACACACACACACACACACACACACACAGAGTGTCTCGCTCTCCTCCTGGCACCTCCATATGTACGGAAATAGTTACATCTGCCTATCACAGAATAGCATCCCCACCTCCCTCTCTCTCTCTCTCTCTCTCTCTCTCTCTCTCTCTCTCTCTCTCTCTCTCTCTCTCTCTCTC